TTAATTGCTTTAAATTGATTATTTAAAATAATCTTCTTTAATTGAAACTCCTCTGAAACTCTTCTGAAGGCTGGAATTTTTTAATTATTGCTTTTGTTCAGACCAGCCTCTGAGAGGAAAAACAATCAAGGCAATTAAGATAGCATTAAATTTTTGATGAAAAGTTGGCATTTTCTGTTTATTAAGATTTAGATATTAGCTACTGAAGTTTCTTAGAGATAGGGCTTAACTAAAGCTTCCAGCATTAATGATACAAAACTTAATTTGCAGTAAAATTTTCTCGGACACTTTTTTCATTGAAGTGAAAAAGGAGTCCATGTAGCCATGCCTTGAAGCCATTTTACTCACCTAGTATTTCCTTAATAATCCATTGGTAGTTGTGAAATAGTTTTTTTTTTCCCACTAGTTTTCTGATTTAATAATACTGATTTCTTGGAAGATTTGAAAATTTCCAAAAAGTGAAAAATTCAGTATCTTGCTGTCCCAGTTTATTTACAGAGATAACTGCAGTTAAATGTTTGGTGCATTTTCTTCCAGTCTTTTTTTTTCAATGTATAAATATTAAAATTATTTCATAGCTGAGATCATACTGCATATGTGGTACTGTATCTTGCCTTTTTCATTTTAACGTCGTGAGCACTTTTCCCGCGGCATTAAAACTGTCTGAAAAACTGAAAGCATTTTGGGCTGTCAGCATAACTGAAAATGTTTTCTCGGTGTGACACATGTACCTTTGTAATTGGTTTGATTTAGTGTGCTTCAATAAAAGTTCAGAATTACGATTCACAGGTTGGGGTGGGGAGTGGTATCTACTTCAAATTACCTCAGTCTTCTAGTAGAACGCACTTTTCCCCGCTTGAACTTCTCCAAACACGACATGCACACACATTGCTTACCTAAAACCTCAGAATACAACTTTGTGCAGAGGGAGTGTTTCCATTTGAATAGTGCAAGTCATTTCAAATGCAAGAATGCCAGCTTCTTAGGGCTCCCAGTCAGGATGTTAATCAGTTGGTCCAAGTCGTGGGGATTTCACATCCCCCCTCTGCCCGAGATGAGAGAGCTGGTGGCGCGCAGAGCTGCCCGAGGGTCCTGGAGCTGCGCTGAGTGGATCCGCGGTAAACAGTCGGCCTTGTCTCCTCCGGGGCGAGGCGCGCAGGTGCTGCAGGAGGCTGGGCGGCCAGCGGAGAGGGTAGAGGCCGCCTCGAGGCCACTTCAGGGCTGCGGGTTGGAGGAAGGGAAGCTGGCTGGGTTCTGCGTTTGCTCTTTGTGCCTCTGTGTGACCTAACTATGTGCTGGTAAACTGGAATTACATGTAATTAATTCTGAAAACAGGATTTTCTTATGACCCTGAGCATGACGTTGGTATGAAAATTATAGTTATGTGCTTTTAACAATTTGCCATGTAACCTAGATTCCTATGACTGGACTGTAACTTTTGTTTTCCCTCCCATGGGGGCTTTCAGAGTACGATTAAATCCTCCTAATTGGTTTTTTGTTTTTTTTTTACCCCCACTCCTGCACTAATCATTTAAAAGGAATGCAGACACTTTTTAAAACGATGAAGTTTATCTTGTATTAAGCAATGGAGACTTTTTTCTGTCTAATCATACTGCTTGTTCTACTGCTTTTTGTCAATTGATATTCCCATAGCCCTTTTGAAAAAGTGTGTTTTGGTAGAAATTAAGTCGTATGCCCTTGGGCCATACAACTTAGTTTTTATTTTTAGTTCTGAAGCATGTTTAGATTCTCTGTACTTGTATAGGCCTGTGATTGTTTATGTGGCTTAGCTAAGGTTTCCTAAAGCATCTCCTAGTAGCTGTCATTGGTTTATAAAATAAAATTTGGGTTGTTTAAAATACATATATTTTTGGTTGTTAATCTTAATTTTTTTGTTTGACCCTTGTGATGAAATGTCTTCTTTTGGGGAAGATTAGTTAAACCTTGGAAAGAATTTTCACTGCTGAGAGTAGAAAATAAAATAGGTAATGTTGCACATTGTGACTTACGCTTTAGCTGTCAAACTAAGTCCAGGGTCATACACCCAACAGAAAAAGATTGTGGTTTTCTGGAAGTTACTGGGGGAATTTTCAAAAGGACCAAATTGATGTTTTAAAATCTCTCTTCTTTTTTCATGGAGGATAGCAGTTGAAGCATTTGCTTGAGGTGACTCTTCACTTCTGATGGAGCGTTTTTTGAGCCTTGAATGCTAAACATACAGCCTCGTGGCTCCTCCATTAACAGGAAGGCCATTGGAGCAGAGTTTGTTCTTTCTGGGGTCTTAAATGCTCAGGGGATTCCGCGTTTAATTACTGAAATAGGCCAGTTTATTGCTGAGGGCCTATGTTTTGCAGCATAATTACCTTAGAACCTCCTGCGTTATGAAACAGGTATGAAAAGGTTGTCTCAATATGTGGACACTTTTCAGTAATAATACGTCACAGGCTGCGAGATTAGGAAAAAAGAAGGCACAGCTGTCCTCCTCAAGGGGTTTAGTCTTGATGGAGAACTTAAAAACAGAAAGACAAAAGACCAAACCCAGCAAGTTGGAAATAATTGAGTGTTATCTTCATGACAAAGACATATAAGAGCCACGTGGGTGTGTTTCCTGACATTGGAGAGGTGAATAAAACGTCTGCAGCTTTGGATTTCAGAGTGAGGGGTAAGGCCTTGAAGCATTCTGATATGTGCCAGACACTGTGTTCCGTTCATGAGATACAGATGCAAAGACACTGTCTATGGGCAGAGCTGAGCAGTGGTGCTGTGCTGGGACACCAGCCCAGGGTGTTCCTTTCCTGTCTTACTTTATTTTAATAAAGTTGTGTGAGCTAGGGAAGAAGCAGTGTGGGTTTTTTCCCCAAAGGTGTTATGCTTGAGAGGGCCAACAGGCAGTTAGAAATACCGATGGGCCCTTGAGTTCAGGAAAAAGGTCTGTTCTTGTGGCACTGATGTGGGAAATGACTCCTGTAGGTAAGCTTCAGGGGCTGAGGCTCTTAGCTGGCTGACGTCAGCCGGACAGACGGAAGGAAGAGAAGGCCATTGAGGAAGGAGCCGGGCAGGCTGAGAACAGGAAAGAGTGTTTCAGAGGAGAGGTAGGAGAACCTGGCAAGTTGCCCAGGAAGGGAGGCGGAGGTGGGAGGGACCTGGGCTGCAGGTAGTGGGGAGCAGACGTCGGAAGGCAGGTGCAGACCAGGCCGTTGTTAGGAACTGCAGATGAGTTGATGCTGGGACTGAAGGATTGAGTGTTAGGATGGGATTGAAGAGAGCAGAAGGGAGAGGAGCCACAGAGACAAACTACGAGGTAGGCTGGGACCCTGAGTTCCTGAGGCTACCTCCGTGCTGAAAGAATTGAGACTTGAAGAGGTGGAGAGTTAGGAATTTAGATTCTGCTTGCGTCTTGGGTCCCGGCTCTTGCTTGCTAGCCGTGTGACCTCGAGTGGCTTACTTATTAACCTTCGTTTTTCATCTGCAAAAGGGAGAGGATACAGATCTTATAGGGTTATTCCAAGGATGAAACGAAAAAGTGCTCACTCAATACAGTGCCTGACCCAGGAAGTACTCCGATATTAGTGCATTTATTTATTTTTAACAGGCACTGGCCTTGGAAAGGCTTAGAGCCGATGAGAGATGAGGTCAGATTTCCCCTGGCTGCCAGCGGAAGGGTGACAGGGTGCCGCTGCTTCTGCCCAGAGGGCAGTGAGAAGACTGGTTGGTTCCTGCAGGAGGGGGTTAAGAGCAGTTTAGAAAAGGAGGTGTGGGCTGCAAAGGGTACCTGGGAGGTGTTGGGGCCTACCAAAGATTGGAGAACGTTCATGGGCTATCTGTAGAGTGAGAACGGTGTCAAAGGGAATTTAAACGCTTTGGTATGGTAAGTGGAAAAAGGATTCTCTGCTCCCTAATGATCAAATCTAAAGTACATTTACAGAGTAAATTAGAATGGGTCCCTAGGAAATCAACCTCTAAGCTGACTTGTTAAGATAGGAGTCCTGTTCTTTGCAGGAGTGTTGATTATACTAGATCGTATCAGTTCAGTCAAGCAAGGAAGAAATTCATTATGAGACTCAGATAGCCGAAGGGGGAGTTCGTAAGAAGGAAAATCCAGTGAAGTCAGGTTATTGAACTCAATGCTGTGGTGTGTCTCCTGGCCCCTCTCACGCCTTTCACAGGTGTATCCCGAACATTTAGAAACAGAACATAGAGTTTGCCTCCTTTAACTGTTCAGGGGTCTAAGGAGTGAGTGACCATGCATGGTGGAATGCTCTGGATTTAGTAACTTTTAACCTTGTAAGCAAGGCAGCAGGAATTTTTATACCACCCTTGCTCTCCGCCCTTCTCTGAAGGATTAGAGACGATGTTGAGTTAGGCTATCCTGAGGACAGTCTAGACCTCGGGGTGAGCATGTAGGTTGATTTGTCCAGGGCAGAATCACTTTGTATCTGATGTCTAAGGATCATTTTTAATAGGGGCCACCTTTAAGGTTCAATAGTGTATTGTTGAGATGCTAAATTATAAAGTCACTTTATAGAGATGTTAGGGTTGAGTTCACTCAGCCCTGGAAATGACTGCAGGCTCTCCTGTGCGCCCACACAGTACAGGGATCTGTTGGCACAAAGAGAGGACGGCGAAAATATTCTGTTTAAAGCCAGCACCTCCTCCCTCAGCTCTTAAGTTACAGATAGCACTTATCTTGTAGAGGAGCTGGCGGGATTTCCTGATGAATTTGTACACCTAGCAGGGTGCCTGCCATATATCATAAGCTTCCAATAATTGGTAGTTACCTGGATTGTAAATATTGCTTAGTATTACCAATGAACATTTTCTGTGTCAGAGCCAGACGATTCGTTCCTCCAGGAAAAAAAACCGCTCCCCTGTTGAACCCCTTTGCAAGGAAAATAGGCAGACTTCCTTTGACGCGATGACGACGTTGAAAGTAAAAGTGGGTTGCTTTCAAGAGGGTGGAATAATCGAGCAACTCTTAAAACCTTTTTTCTTCTTCCTAGGTCTTAGTGGTGCAATGGCTAGTATAAGCGTGCGTTCGAGTACCCCAGGCTCTCCTACACATGTAAGCAGTGGATCGAATGCTAGTCGAAGGAGAAATGGACTCCATGATGTCGATTTGAACACTTTCATATCAGAAGAAATGGCACTCCACTTGGACAATGGTGGAACTAGAAAGCGTACCTCAGCCCAGTGTGGGGATGTCATTACAGACTCACCAACCCATAAACGCAACAGAATGATCTAAACTGCAGACATTTTCCACACCCACCATGCTGCTTGAAAGCCACTTGATCCTCAACATATTACTATTATTGCAAAGGAAACATATGAGGCCATCTTCCATTGTTCACTGTTTAAGACAAGTGAATCCTATAGTGGTTGCCATAAAAAGAAAGTTCTAGGTATTTATAGTAGATGCCTCTTGTAATTATGGCTTTCTTAAAACTATAACCCTAGCAGAGGACATCAGATACCATGTCGTAGGGTCCTCGTAGGCAAACATATATCCGTTTCAAGGCTAAAAGTGACCTTAACTGTATTTATTCTCAAAGGGAAAGGAAATATCAGATGTTTATTTGGTTACAGAATGGTTTTTTGGGGGTGGGGGGGGGAGGGTCCATTTTCTGCTGTGTTGAGTATTTTGCTTCAACAGTATTGCCAGGTTCCTAAAATTGTCTAAAACACACGATTTGGCTTCCTCATCAAATCTCCAGGCTTCCATTTTTGCAGCAGCACAGTACCACGCACCTGGTTTCTCTCTAATAACAGCGTGCAACTTTGAATTATTATTGAACTGTGTCCTATTTTTTAGTTTTTGAAGCAGTCTATAATTCTGGTGATTGTGTGATGTAAAGAGGTGCTATGATGGTCATGCAATTAATACTTAATACTGAATCAATACACAGAACCTTATTGGATTCACTTTGTGTGTGTTAGTGCTCTAAAAGTAGCAATATTAAATTGCCCCACTCCCCCAATTAACCCTATAGGCTTAAAATAATTCATTTTTAAGACAAGTACTACTTCCCAAGCAGGGTACTATCCTTATGGTAAATGTAAACATGTTGACTGCATTCATGGTGACCTGAAGTAGAGAGGTCACGAACTCTTGAGAACAGGCTTCCTTTTTGGTTCAGTATTAGTGAGAGGGAGATGGGTGGTGGGAGAGGCTCAGCATTGTAGTCTTTCATATTTACGTTTTTCATGAATGTTCTGCTTTGTGCAGTTTCTGTTGGAATGGGTGAAAGAGAAAGGTCTTTTGTCTGCTAATAATGTGATCCCAATTTAAATAGCAGAACCCAACTCTCCAAATCCCTCTCCTAGAAAGTGCAGTTTGGAATCTCATTCTGGGAAAAGATGGAATCGCATGGAAGTCCTCTAGATGTTAGGTTAGACCTAAATAAAAGTTCTCAATAGATTCCTCTTTTGAGTAAATATAAGACCTCTTGTAGCTACAAAGTTTTAGAGCATGTTTCATCTTCATTTTTAATATCTTGAACTGAATGGTAGTCTTTTTATAGATGAAGAACTGATGTCAGCCTGCCAGGTACTGTAATTTATTCTATCATACTATTATATATATATATATATATATATCAAGTAGGACAGTGAAAATGTTTCCTTGCAAACTTACAGTTCAGTATCAGTTACTTCCTGTTTTTTATCCTTTAAAGACTATTGCAAATCAGTGTAAGGGTTTTTCCAGTAATTACTCACAGCACTTTGTTAACGTTTGCAATTTTCTCCAGCCATTTAATAATCTTTGAAGAAATTTTGCTAAGTTCACCATAATATTCGTTGATGGGTGGGATGTGAATGGAAATGTGTGAACTGGAGTTCTGTATTCACTATAGATACAGCCCTTATTTAAAGAAAGTCAATTCCATGCTAAACCTAGGAATGAAAGTGAGGCGTTTCCAAAGTTTTGCAAAAGTGGATTTTTTTTTTTTAATATGATGGGAAGAATTGTAACAGTTTATTATTATACTGGAAATGGGCAAGCCTATGTATTCTCTATACTTTACACTTCCCTTTGGAATATACCAAGAAATGCATTTGGAGTTATCTTTGTTTTTCTATCTTTGTAAATTTAGATTCTGGAATTGGGTTTGACGGTGTGAAGCGTTGCTCACAAGAGGTCAGAACTCCTTCCTAAAGGTTTTTGAGGCTGAGGAACACATATTTAATCTCCCCTTTATGCCTTGGTTGTAGTTCCTCTCTCCAGGTTAGTGACAAAAAATTTTTTTGGTGGTTTTTGTTTTAGTTGGTGCTCTGAATCTCAGTACCCTTTACTCTGGATTGTCAAATTTTGATAAAATATGTGCCATTTTCTTTGGTAAGAGAAAGCAGGTCTTCACGTCTGCCAGAACACAATTTATATATTGGCTCCATTAAACTTTTGAAAAACTTTTAACATTTGTTATTTTTTCCATTGCATTCAATTCTAAATGCGCTTTGTCACCAACTGGTTAACTCCTTCCCCATCTCCACCCCATTGCCAAAAACCCAGGAGGTTGAAAGGGAGGTAATTTCTCTTAGGAAAACTTAGTTCTGACTGCTAGATTTTTTTGCAGCCTTTCTTTGTGCCATTTCAGATGGAAAACAAATCATGGAAGATTGCATATTCGTGTGATACTTTTTAAATAACGTTGAATTTCTTTTTTTCTCCTCCAGTCTCTTTGAGAACAGTGTAGGCAGAATTTTAAAACTTTACCTTGGGGGAACAGAACCTCTTTTCATCTTAAGCTAGATTCTCGGATCCTTTTAGACGTCACAGCTCATGGGTTGTGTTCCCGTCACCTTAACTTGGCATGAGTGGGTTGAGTTATCCTTCTGCAGTGTTTGAGCATGGCTGAAGCATTAAAAACCTATATATAATGTTTAGTGTTTTATAGAGCAAAGTCAATGGAAAGCATTTGGCTGAACCTAAAGACCTGCAGTCAAATTCTTCAATGTGGTTTACCCTACTGGATTAGTGGTACACACCTTAAATCATTCAATGAATAAATAATTTAAAAAAACCAAAAAACCACGGGGCTTGTCTGCAGTTTTGTTTTTGGTCATCACACCTGAGTAACTTTGACATAAAATGGAAGTTCAGGATTACAAAATAACTAGCTGAAATATTTTTCCCAGGGGCTCTCGGAACTCATTAAACTTGGGTCCCTTTGGCTTTTGGTCTTAAAGATTGCCATGCAACATTGAAAGCTGGGCTAAGTTTCCGATCTTGTTGAATATTAAGGGGGTCACCAAGACCCAGCCGAGAGGGTGAGCCAGCCTCGATGCGGTGATGGTGCAAGACGCCAAAGAGGTGGTTTGGAAATGGGCCTTCATCTGGGGACACAGGCAGCACAGTTAATTTCAGAAAAGTATTGTGAGTGAATCATTAAGTTTTGGGCACCTTTACTTTCTACCGGAATGTTCTGAGAGGTGTAGTGACTATTAGCAGATGAATCTTACTGCACTTTATTTTGTATAGCCTGCCGCTTCATCCACTAGATTATCTGGGTGTATTTCAAAGTGAAAAGAAACTTAAGATTTCATATGTTTAGTTAAATTTAGGAGGTTATTCTGAGCAGATGTTTTTGTGGTCCCTGCACCCTTTGCAGAAGCCGTTACAACTTTGATCAGTTCAGGTGACCTTACATTGCTTTTGTCTAGCTTACAAACCCTGCACTGGAGTGTGGGTGAGGTATGTGATGTTTTAGTGGGGGTTGCTCTGTGTGTTATATTAATTCATCTGACAGGGTTTTACTTCCTGGGACGGGACCTGCATGTTCTCTGTGGAGTCCAGCACACACCAGCCCCATGAATAATGCAAGAGGGTTTTGAGAGTCAAACACAAATTTTGTGGCCCTCAGTAAAACTGGCTTTTCACTGATTTTACTCCAAATTTCTGGTGGCCTCTCATTTTATTTGTATTGTGTAATTTCTTAAAAAAGCTGCAAAAATCCAGCCATACAATAGCATATAGTGTATGCAGATCTTTCTGCATAAGATTACATGTGATATTTTATGACTAAACAATTTCTTACACATCTGGGACGTTACAGGGATCCCATGTTTTATCGTAGTTAACTGGTTCATCTGGGATAAATTTCTGCAGGTAAAATTGCTGGTTCAAAGGAATTCGTACATAAAATGTTGGTAGATCCTACCAAAGTAGGAACGGTTAATAACTTTCATCAACAGGGTCGTAGGAGTGCCTTTTCCCTTACATCTTAGCTGCTGGATATTTGTACAACTCGCAGACGGAAATGATCTCACAATTTTCATTTGCCTTTTGCCCCCTTGTGTGAAGGAAGAATCTTTGCTTGAAATCGCGTGGATTTGAAAGCCAGCTTCGCCACTTAGGTGTGGGAGCCTGGGTAAGTTTGCCAGCCTGGGCACTGTTTCACCATTTGTGACGTGGGATGAAAAAAAAAAGGATGCAAAACTTAGTGACTTGAATTCTGTGGATACCTTTTACATCTACACTTAGAATCTGCCTCCTATCTGTGGAGTCCTTAACTCTGGAATGTGGCTGTTTGGTTTTTTTTTAAATGTGCATTTTTGTAAAGAAAATTAAAATGTCAGACAGCATAAAGGCCCTTTCAACTTATCTTCTCCTTCACGCCTCAAAAGTAAAAACTGAACTGTTCTGGAGAGTAACCTGCCACATGATTTTCTGTAGGTTTCTGAGTCCCTTCACGTGTGTGGCCTCTTAACTATGCTGCTTTACTGGTGGCGGTATAGCAGTAAGTACTGAGCCATACATGAGTCATACACTTGAGGGATGTGAGAGACGATGTATCCTGGGATAGTCTGAAATCAGAGGCATAGGTACCCAGTACAGGGTGAAGCCTGCAGTCTGTGAAGTAATAGTTTTAGGGCAAAAGCTAATCCACATGTTTGTGAGGGGCTTATTTTCCAGACTGAAGTAGAATGCCTGCTGGGATGCCACAGTCTAGCAAGTCCAAGTGACCTTCCTTTATGAGTTCTTAATCCTCGTGTTGGGGAGCCAGGCCTTCAGAACCTGGGGGAGGGGTGCTGGTGGGCGTGAGGTCTGCGTGCAGGTGTCGCCCTGGTGCCCGCGCCGCACTCGGGAGAGCGGAGACAGCCCCTGCTGCCTGCGTGGTGCGTGCGTGCTCAGAGCTGCCATGGAAACCCCGAGAGCCCTGGGCTTCCTGCAGCCACGAGGTGGGCTGTGCAGGCGTGCAGCCTGACCGAGGGGTTTGGGGGCGCTGGGGCCGCTTGCCACCACTGCCTTCTCTGGGCTGCTCTCATCCCCTTTTGGGGCCTGGTGGACTCGGTATCCAGACATCCTCCGTAAGTCCACCAAGGTAGGTGCCTCCGTATCTTTGGCATTTGAGAAATCACTGGCTTCTCGGACCATTGGTATTTATGTAGGGGTGGCAGTGGTGCTGGGCTGAAGTTTCTGGGGGTGGGGGGGGCAGGGGGGAACGTGTAGCAAACCACGGAGGAGGCTGATGGCTTTTCTCACCCGTCTCCTTTGGTGAGCCTCATGGCCACAAAAGCAGTGTTGGTTTCCAGGTGTATCTGTAGACATTTGTAACTACCGTGATGTTCTGAGGGGCTGTTGGGGGCTGCTTAAGTGTTTCTCAGGCATTTTAGACCATGATCAATGGTAAGAAATAATCTTCCCATCGAGACCTAGTGTGGACACGCACGCACACACACGTGTATTTCCCTGAACAGGATGCTGTATGTGAACTACCACGTTGATTTCACAGCCAGTTTGAAAACCCGGGCTCTCTGGATGTCAGTGCCTGGCACAAAGTGTAGGAACTTGAACATGTTCTTGAATGAACGAGTAAATAAAAGGTGACCTGAAGGTCTCCATGTTTTCATGAAAAGTCCCTCTCTTTTTGCTGGGCCTTCACAGTCCCAACAGGAACCAGTGTGTGGTGGTGAAAAGGGCGGCTTGGTCAGGGAGCTGAGCCCTACCTCAGAGGCAGGGTGAGGTGGAGAGGCCCGGGCCACAGCTGGCACACGGGAAGCGACCCAGGTGCTGTTCGTGTGAGGTGACGTGGCTGGATAAAAATCCCTTTGCAGCGTGGGAGAAGGATCTCCTGGGTTCTGCAGTGGTTCCAGCTGCTCTCCCTGTTTCTTCTCTCTCCAGCCCTGTGGTTCTCACCCAGCCTGCACATTAAAAGCAGCGTGTTCAGGCATACCCCAGACAGACCAGATGGGACTCCTTACGGGGGACCCAGGCACTGGAATTTTTGAAGCTCTTCAAGTGAGAAGCACTGTCCTGGGACCTCCGGTGTGTGCTGAGGAGAATGCAGAGAGGTGTTGCTTGGCCCCTTTCCAGATTTGTTAATTGAACCGGTGGATCCAGGCTTCTCAGCCCTGAGGCTGAGGTCAGCTGTTGCCTTCAGAGGAGCCTGCCCCTCCCCTTGGCTGCTTGCCCAGCCACCTTTGGTCCCTTGTGCTTTCAGGAAGTCTGGACATGACGAGTGCCTTCCTCTGGGGCAGGCTGTTTCACTGGGCTTGACAGGAGGAAGTTTGCACCCACAACATCCCAGAGCCCTGTGAATCAGCTCACCAGAAGCTCTGCCCTGGGAGACAGCCCTCCTGGCAGGGCTGTGTCACCTTAGGAGAGGTTTAAAAATAAAGATTCCTGGACTCCGCACCCATATACACTGATTCCAAAGGTCTGGGGGGAGGACAGGGTTTCTACCTTTAAAAGGCAAAATAAAAATCCCGAGTCCTCCTACCTATTACCCCTGTTTACAAGTTTTTTCATTGATGATACATGTACATGGGAAAATGGTACAGAAAGGCTCAGATGACAAGTCCTCCTGAGCTGTCTCATCTTGGATGTCGTCTTGTGTGGAGTTGAGCCTGGTGGTCTGTGGCTTCCTGCAACTGTGAGGGAAGATGGGCCAAGGCTGGGGCCCATGGACACGGCAGGAATAGAAGGACCTTGGTCCCGGGATGCACCAGGCATTGCACTCACTCAGCTTGGAATCCTGTTACAAGGAGCAGAAGATAAGGCTGGGGTGGTACATTTGTTGTTGAATTGCTAAGTCATGTCCACCTCTGTGACCTCATGGACTGCAGCACACCAGGCTTCCCTGTCTATCACCGTCTTCTGGAGTTTGCCCAAAACTCATGTCCATTGAGTCCGTGATGCCACCCAACCAACCATCTCATCCTCTGTCACCCCCTTTTCCTCCTGTCTTCAGTCTTGACCAGCATCAGGGTCTTTTTCAATGAGTCGACTCTGCAATCAGGTGGCCAGAGGATCGGAGCTTCAGCATCAGTCCTTTCAATAAATATTCAGGGTTGATTTCCTCGAGAACTGAACAGGTTTGATCTTGATAAATGTATTCCTGAAAAACTATACAAAAAGGGTTACATACACTCTAAACTGCTCTATTTGTTTTCAGATGAAATAATGGAGCCTTTCCCTTGCCAGCTTGTCCAGATGTGTACCTTGTATTTAGTAATGAACATTGTCATGAAAAGGGTGAGAATACCTGGCGAGCTGGTGTGGCAGGTCCGTCAACTCCATTTTCCGGATGAGGAGAGAGAGGCTTGGGTGTCTGACTTTGTGACTGCGCGCTGCTGTGTTCAGGGCGTGGAGCCCTATGGGGACAGTCATCCACCCACAGGGCAAGTGTTGACCACCCTGCTTCCCTCTCACCATCTGTAAAGAAGGGTGTTCGCAAGGGTGAGAGAGGTGATGTCTCCCACCAAAGGGTACCCCCCTCCGGGTGAGCACCGAGTTCTTCATCCTAGCCCTGGGGCCGCAAGAAAGACTGGCTTCGTTGCTCCAGAGGAGCGGAGGCGTGTTAAGTCCTGAGGGTGTTAAGGGATTAAAGGGGAGCACTGAGACGCCCCAGGCCGCAGGGGTCTCTCTGGGGGAGCTGGAGGTCTCAGGTCGGCAGCAAGCGATCCCGGTGCCCGCCGCTAAGGGGAAAGGCTGGCTGTGCCCGGGGGCTCGTGCCCTCGGCTTCAGCCCACAAGGAGCACAGAGCGCGGCTGGTGGGCCCAGCGGGGCCGCCGGAGATGTC